TGAGATATCAAACTCTTGTGGCTGGTAGCGCTTTAAACAGGCAGAACTAATGGCAATGGGACTTTCTATGGGTTCTTTATTCCCGTCAAGGATGCAAATTTTCTTCCAAAAGTATCGGAGAGGTATGCAGCTGAAGTCCTCTTCTTAAGCTGATGTGCACTAGCATCTTCGCTAGGGATCCTTTCACTTCTTTTTTGGCTCCTCAGCTGTCCGATATCAATTGCTGCTGAATTGACTAATTCTGTTCTGTCCTTACTTTTTTTGTTTCAGTGATTCTTTCTCGCGTAGCTTTAATCTTTTGGAAAAACATATCGATTTGTGTGTACTTCGCCTTCCGATGGACAAGCCTTTTGACTTGGCTCATGAGCAGTTTTACTGCCTGAGCCATTTTGAAACGAAGCTGAAATGACTCCACATTACGAACGTATACACTGCAACCGACGTTGACGTGAACGCCTGGCCTAATTAGTACCTGTGAACGTCTTGTTGGTGCAGCTGACGTCAACTTCTGAAGTACTAAACGTCAGAGATAATACCAACGTTGGACGTAAGAGGCCGGTCTTAAGAGCAACTTTTATGCAACCGTCCCTAAGTTGTTTTCCCAAATGAAGAGCTGTACTTACGTAAACAATGGAGACATGCTCAATTCTACGCTGTTCCTGGTAGTGATGAGGTGGAAAGTATGTGCCTACATTGCTGCTAGTAACGCCACAAATGACTACTAAAAAAAGTAATTGGGCGGTGATCGGTCCTTGCTATTGTCAAGCTGCACCGAGATGCCGGCACTTGAGGATCCTCGTTTGCATATCACAGAAGTGAAGACGAAGGACTCAACACTTACTTGCACTGTGACGAAGCTGTATCTTTTCCAAGAATCACCATGAATGAAGGTTACCGCAGTGCGCGTACAGATTGAATGAACTGTCGATCACTCGACTAAGAGAACTTAGGACTCTTCAATAATGCTTAAATAATGACAATATTTGTTCATAAAATTTTAATAAAATATAAAATATAGGAAATAAAACGTTTTTTCTTACAATAAGTACAGTGGCTTTGAGGAGGCAAAGGAGCCTGGTTCAATTCCTCTGATACCATTAAATTCCAAATTCCTGTTGTAAAAAAAAGAATAATCAAATTATACATTGAGTAAGAAGCGACCTGTATTTCAATCTAGTTTTTATGAAAGCTTATAAGGCAGGACAAGCCTAATAATGAGAGGGAATGATTGTTGGTATGATCATGACGATGAGTTGATGAAAAACTAACTGGATGGTTACAGATGACAATGTTTGTGTGTAACTTTCTCTTTCTATAGTAGCTATGGGTAAACTTGCTCTACAGACCGGCTTTTTTGCTACCATTAACTAAACTTATTGTATCGAAATTTAATAATCGTGAACAATTAAAACTTTAGTCTGTGGGAGCCCTTAGTCCTTAGTCTCCTTGTGAAAAATATGTCAATGACTTGATCCATTTGTGTGTGAACAACCTCTGTCTACCACTAATAGTAGCCAATAAACAAATAGTTATTTATGGAAGTACTTAGTTGCCAAGATCAATGACCAGGAACATTATAGCTTGTCTCCGGTGGATATATACTGAATGCAACAAGAAATACGATTTGCATAATAATTACCACGTAAAAAACATATGAGTTGGCTGAAGAGATGAAGTCTAGCACGTGCGAAGTTTGTCTGGTACTGTTTAAAAAACTTCATTTACATTGAGTCTACATTGTCTTCGACACATTGCTGCCTATTTTTTCTTACCAACGAATAAATGAGTAGAATCTTATCACTGTTTTTATTTTATATATTCATTAATTTTTATCTACGCCTTTCTTTATCTTGATTGATTGATTAGCATTAGAAAGATGTGAATAACCTGAATCATTTTGACGGAGCGATTTGTAATGGCAATAGGACTGAGTGGAGTACAATGCAGGGTTTAATCGGGTGAGTAATTCAAATCGACCGAGAGCGGAGAGCGAGGACTATTTGAAATAACGAGTCTGATTACCCTAGATTGTAGGACACGAAGTCCTTTTACCAATTAATAGTAGTGATAATGGAGTGCAATGATCTCCAGATTGAAATATTTGAAAAAAGTACGAATTTCTCATTGATAATTATTTATAATTATTTTTATGTGTTAAATTAAATTTGGCTTTTTGCTTGGTTTTGATTTACCAGCATGAACCTATTTTGTTAAACCTTTTTGGCTAGCAACTTTTGATGCCTGGTTTTCATTGGCTGTTCAACTGTCTAATTTGACCTGCCCGGTTACCAACAGTTTCAAATCGGACAGGTCAAATTTGACAGTTCTGGTGCTGCATCAGCCATATAAAGCAATAAATAATAGCTGTTAAGAACCAATCAAATCTGAAAATTTTGTTATTCACACAATTAAGTTGGCTCTCCAAATTTTGCAAAAACAAAATAATAATCTACAGTTATACTTACAGGTATGTTAACCGAAATAAGCCTCTTAAAGTACCAACGCTGATGTACCGTAGAGTATTATTTCTGAGATTCCTGTGGAACATATAGAGGAAAGAAGAATCCCCCATTAAGTTTAATTCCGGTTTCACTTTAACTTTTCCCCGTCATTATTCTGCTATAACATCATCTTATAGGACCAAATGGTCACAGTATTCACCGAAATTTAAGCAAAATTACTAATTAAACTTTACTGGAAAAAAAGAGAAATACAGGAAAGCGATGATGAAGCATGGGCTGAGAAAAGTAAAAAAGGTAAACACTGATTGGGCTTAGGTCAAGGCGTGTCTATCATCAATTTTTCTAGTTTAAAGAACGTAGGTACAAAAAATAGACAAAATCATTCCTTCCTGGTGATCAGTTGCATTTTATTTACTTTTGACAAGTAGCAAGAAAAAAGGAATAGAAAGTCAGTTAGTCATAACTTACAAGACTTCGAGATGTTTCAATGTAGCAAAGACTCCATCAGGAAGAAGTGATATGTTGTTCTCAGACAGGTTTCTAAGAAACAAATTTTCATTTTAAAATACTGGTCTGTTGAAGTTGGTATAGAGAGTATTTGTTAAAAAGGATTATGACGTGTAACGCTGAATTTTCATGCGTTAATCACTTATTTTCCCGTCACTGGCTATTTTACGAACACGTAAGCCAGGAATTTCAACTCTACATCTATTTTCGACTTTGTCATCGGTCCTTTGAACCCCTGTTCCGAATGATTTACGTCCCTTTTTAAACGTAAATTGTCTTTTAACTTTTGCTACTGCTGTTTTAGTTCGTTTAGAAATGGTCTTTTGTTCTCACTCGGAACACTTAGTTTAAATCTTTAAAGGATTGGATACTTATGGGCTGTAGTATGAATCAGAAAGAACGAAAAATTCGATTATTTCTCGTTTATTATACAGCTGGAACGTTCCTTTATTTTTCAGCAAACCGTTGACTTTGGCTTTTTACTCCTTACATAAAAAAATTACCAGCTCTTCAACCCTCCCTCGACGACGAGTCAACCACTGAAATCAAAGTTTGAAAGCAAACATCTCGCGTCGGTGTCCACAAGAGGGTATCTTTGATTGTTCACCCACAACGGGAGCTGTGGGCCCTCGACACATACAAAAAGAACGTCCATATAACACGAATCCGGGGGTGTATGGCACGGCTAGTTCATAGACTTGTCTTGCCAGTTTATTCAGTAAAGAATTTTATCTATATAGTAATACTATTTGCTATATAATTCAGGAAAGTATCCTCTTGACGATTGCAGATCAATAGATGCGTGGGATTTATTTTATAAGAAGCACTTTAGAAGGAATGATACAGCAAATACGGTAAATTAATTTATATTTTTCTTGTATATGTCTATCTTGGTTTCAATACTTACAATTCGTGGAGTTCCCTTCTGTAGTAGAATGTTCCATTAACGATATATCTTAATCGGTTACCATTTAAATGCCTGAGAGATTAAATGAAACTTTAAAATAGATTCGCTCCATAGGCGTCCATGTGACGAGTGTTTAATGGTCGAATAGCCACTACATAATGAGATGAACCGGCTTTGGTTTATTTGCTTTTTTGTGGTTCTGTTGTGTTTCGTTGGTTATTTCTAAGAACTATATATACAATGGGGCCAGAGCTAACATATTAGTCGTAGTCATAAGTTCCTTGCTAGCAGAAGTCTCTCCAGACGAGGCAAAAAGGAGAGGAAGGAGGAAGACTCTCTCCTTCCTCTCATTTTTGCGTCGTCGTGAGAAACCTCTGCTGGTAGGGAAAGTCATGAGACGAGCTGTTTCTAGCTACAGTTTGTCATGTAGAGAATGTCAATAATGGTTTCAGCGAGTTTCCGTGTTTTGTCAAGAGGTTTATGGATACTGAGGAAAAGTTTAAACTTTCTCCAAAAAAGTTGATTAATCTTCATCAAGTGCCCGTTGATCGTAATGAAGAGAAGGCGCCTGCAGCTAGTCAAAGAAAAGCAAAAATATACCTTTCATTATTACTGGAAATGTCTCCACCCAATTGACACCCGCTTGAAAAAAGTTGTGGGAAGTGAAGGCTAGCGATGATAGTATTATTTTTACTTTTCTCAGGTTGAGATTAGTGATTGGCGAGAGAGCTTGCTCACAGGGTATCTCATATCTTAAAGAAAATATTCATTCCAAGGTAAAGTGTTATCAAAGGTGCCATGTTTAAGATGAAGTTGTTTTCAAACGTTCGGGCCTGGCCCTTCATCAGTAGAGTTACAAGTACGTTGGAACTGTTGCAAGCTTTGTGTTCGCCATGAATTTAAAATGCAAACTTTGTATTGCGTGCGCAGTTATAGGCGACCAGCGGTGGCTGCGAAAAGACTGCTCTGGTTTTAGGGTGGCTCGACAAGATGTTGAAGTTGTCGAGTGACCCTGAAAGCAGAGAATCTTCACAAGCATAAGAACCCGGCTCCTAAGAATTAATTTACAATCAGGCTGAAGTTTCCTTTGGGGAATACATGTTTAGTAAAAGATAAAATATATCTTACAAGTATCTGAGTTTTCCCATTCGGTAAAATGCAGTAGCGTCAATATGGTGAATGTTGTTGTTATCCACGTAACTGTGCAAAAAAATAACATTGGTCAAAATTTTGCAATCTCTAAGGCTTGTTTCAAATGCCATAGTTCACATGAGCCAAACCTAATGCTTATGAACGAAAACGATAACTTTTGTTCAGTAACATTTGGTTCGACTCAAGTAAGAATTATTGCTTGGTTCGTTTCCCGTTTAGAATGCTTGTTAACCTGTCTTACTACATGGCAACCAATCCTTCCCCCACCTAGGTAAGAATCTAGCCTGTGAAATTTGGAATATGTATTTTAAATGGGCTTCGAATTCAATTATTGAATTGTTGATCAACTGTTTCCTCGGTTCACATTTTATCTTCCTTTTAGTCCATCAGCTGAGATCCGAAAATTTGGGTTTATGGCTCACTTAAGGGGAACACCGAAACATGTCTAATCTTAATCTTTGACTAAAAAGCATTAAAATAATGCATGATATCCAGTCAAGGATAAAACGGTAGCTTTCACTCTGTAAATCGAAATCTTGAATTTGCCCCTCATAATATCCTTTTGGCCGAAAAATCTTGGATTTTGGGAAAGGCTACAAAAGTTGCTCGCAAATCGCGTTTGAAAGGTAAATTTAAAACATATTGAAATTAAAAACGTGACTTCTGTTTGTTCTAGCGCTTAAATTAATGTAAAGGCCGAACTGTCTAATTTCACCAACGAGAGAGATTTGCAACTCACTAAGCTTGTTAACACAGAATTAAGTGATGACTGACTGCCCTCCACGAGGAATTGAAAGTAGCAAGCGAATGACTTTGTAATGAGCCTTAGCTCATCCAAGCCCACTTCAGATTACTTCGATTCAGTGACGGAAAGCCAAGCTGAAAGCTGTGCTTAAGGTTCGCAACAAGGATCTAGTACCTCCTCTTGGTATGGATCGCTATTTTTTGCTCGGATGGCACTTCACGGACAGTTTCATCATAGCGAAGCTCGAAGCCACTCAGTAAGACTGTTCCTGAGGTACAGTTCAGCCACGAAGAGGCCTGTAGAAAAAGCCCTTTCAATAGCTCTAAACATGTTCTTCTAGCATTGTAATTTAGCGGGCCTGGTAATTTTATTATTGAGATGATTGAGATAGAGGTTGAGACACTAATGCTAAAAGCAATATGGCGGTCACTGTGACGTCATATACGACGTCATCATATCTTGACTACTTTTTCTTGACTAAAATAATATCTCGGATACCTAGTAGTTCAAATAAACTTCAAAACAAAAAATCGTGTGTTTTTAAGAGGGAATCAATGGTTTATTTATAATTCAAGATAGCAACCAGATTTAAAATTCGATTTGCAAAGTGAAAGCTACCGTTCTATCCTTGCTATCATGCATTTCTTTTATGCTTTTTACTCAAAGATTAACTTTATACAAGTTTTGTGTGTTCCTCTTAAGTGAGCCATACAACCCCCCTAGCTGATGGAGTATTTGTTTCTTCTCCGTTTTCTCAACAAAGTACTCATTGACGCACTTCCCACGCCGTAATAACCCGGAATTACTTAATATTATTGATTTTAGCTCGTGCTATTGAAAGCTTTAGTGGCCAACTCCCTTCACACCACAGATCGGTGTAACTTATATTATCAAGGAAATGATAAGCTTTTAAAAAAAAATCCAAACAAAATTTAGATAAATATCACTCACAGTTTTTGTAAATAGTTAAGGCCAGAAAACGTCTTGTTTCTAAGAATCGTCAACTTGTTTCCACTGATCGACCTACATTTCATTTAAAAGAAAAGTAATCGTAAACGTATTTTGTGACCGTCAGACGTCAGCAAATAGATCCCACAGTGCAGTTTGTATATGTCTTGGTTCAACTTTTTCCTTGGAGTTTAAGTCCGTTTTATTGATGTTTGACCTCGCTATCATCCATTATCATACACAATTACAAAGAGCTAAATAAAAAGAATTCAGTCAGAACACCGTAAAATGCTGTTTATAAGTCCCCCACTAATAAGCCTCTCCCCCTTTTATAGGTCTATCTAGCAAAAACAAAAACTACGTCCGCGATTAGGAAGCCCTTGGATATAAGCCTTCCTCTAACTTGTTTTTAAATGAAGTCGAAATATAATAAATATTATGAATGAAAATCGTATTTTGATTAGCACCGCTTCGAAGCGCTTTTCCAATTCCAGTTTTAGGCCCCCGGACTGATATAAGACCCTCCGTTTATAAACTTTCCTGGCCCTTTGTGGAGATTTAAGAGCCCAGGCCTTATAAGCGGCTATGTACAAGTATTCAAGGATCTTGAATGGGGGTTTTGCGGCAAATTGAGACACTTCTGAAAAGGAAGCTCGTGTTTTGCTTCCAAAAGCACGTACTACGTCGACTCCAGAAGACGATACTAGGCAAGACAGCTGCCTCCAAAAACCTGTTACACAACTGTATACTTTAAACTGTGTATACTGGCTTTATTCCATGACTACATATTCCTATATATTTCATTCAGTATCACGCTAGTTTCAAGGTTGTTGTACTCGTGGGTCGCAGTGGGGGCAAGCTCCGGAACTATTCAGAAAAGTGTTCTGAATACACTGAGGGAGCGTCTCCAACAACCTCTGAAAACTGTGTCCAGCTACTAGCATTGCTAAGTGGCTTTATAGCTTGTTGCAGTTATTTCTACTGACTGGAGAGGTAGCGAGGGCAGGTCACTAGCTCCTTAAAACCCTCTGCTTTGGGTGGATAGGGCTCGTCAGGCCGGGAAGGGCACGGTCCAACTAGGGGTAAGAAACCCTTGTTTAAAACCTCTCTTATCTTTCGGTACATCATTGTCTACGATATGGTTCTAGCAACACCAGCAAAGGCTTTGATGCCAAACTGTGATAATCCTATTGTTCGTTTGGTTCTATTCACCGCCAACAACTTGGAGGTTTCCTGTTTTCGATTGGCGTAAGGCACGGTGTCTGAAGGTTTTCTCGACCGTGGAAAAGCCAGAAAGTTGCTCTCCCGCCAAAGTAATCTTCAAAGTAACTTTCATTGGGATCAAGAGACTGTAACCATCAAAACAGGCAACAGAAGAAGTCATAGCTCTAAGACGGATATAATGGAACGTCTGGACAATTATGAACGTTTTTTTTCTGAAACCATTAGGAAATCAGCGACACTAGAAACCAACTGTAACAAAACAGGTGCTCCGTGGGAATAGCTACCCTTCAGGAAATACGGATGTGATGGCAGACACACACACACTGAAGGAAAATAACTGACTATATGGGCAGGGAGTCCAGAGCATGGAGAAGGTTCTGTAGAGAGGAATAGCCAAGCTACTAGCTATAAATGACTCCTTGCTTTCCGCGGCAGCAACACATACGGTCCTGTCATGCTTGTTAGCAAGTATGAATCAGCACTGTCCCCCACTTCCGACGTAAAGAAAGAGTTCTAAAAGGAACTGGAATAAATCAACAGAGACATCACCAACAAGGATCAATTTTACTTCATCACTAGAGGGGGCAACAGACCACGTGTTGTGCCCCCCCGAAGCAGAATTGTCAGGATGCTTGCGATAAATTCATCATTCAATCAACTGACGCTGTTGTTAAGGCTGTATATCGGAAACAGCTTCGTGCCATAGTGCTGCTTAACATGAGTAATGTATTCTACAGCATTTTCCACGACGTTAGATTGTCATCTTATGCAAATCGAGTGGTTTCGCAGCTGCCTTCTGGCGGGCAATCAAGTCCAAAATCAACATCGTCATTTCAGATAGTTTACCCATGACCAGCGGAGTACCCCAAAGAAGTATAGTTAGGGCCACTGTTGTTTCAGTATGTATTTAAGGAACATCTCCCAACGTGCCCAGGCACTTGTTCCCGCAGAATTACCTGCATGACACTCAATTGTTGCCTACATTTAGCCTTCAGGACAGGCCAAATTCCATATCTATGTTACATCAAGGCTGAGGCTGAACCTGTCGCTGGACGTGCAATAATTTACTTATTAGGATCACTTTGTCGGGCATTTTGGCGCATTTTGCGGGCTAAGATATATTTTAGTCTTCTGAAATAAACCGATGAAAGGAGGGAATCAAACAGTCATAAGATGCAAGCGGCTAATCAAAATCGAGAAGCCATTGTTTGCGCCGCCGTTTTCTTGCCTTTTTTATCAAGGAAATCACGCTGCTATTTTCAAAGTTTAAATCGTGGCTGAAAAACACAGAAAATAACAAACAATTTGTAAATTCTTGATCCCCTGAGCAAGAGCTAGAAACATATGTTAGCCCGCGTACAAAAACTCTATTGCTTTATTAACCCAGACAAAACTGAATCAAAGACATCTAAAAATTGGAATAGTCTAAGTATGCTGGGAAAGTATCTCACCTGTTGAAACACTGTTAGATCTAGGAGTATTTCTCTTATCAAAACCAAAAAACCACGCCTATGTCGATAGTTTTCACCTTCATGTCGCACCGGGGACAGATAAATCAAGTAAAGCATGTTTGTGATCAAAAAGCTTTAACTGTTTAATAAACGCCCCGGCAAACTATTCTACTGTTTCAATGCTTGGAACAATACTACTGACCCCATTAAAAACGCTTTAGATTGTCTGAAACTCTGTTTGTAGCATCATTAGTAGAACAAGAACGCTGTTAGAAGCAGCATTGAGTCTCGCTTGCTTGGAGATAAGATAAGAAATAAGGAGGCGATTAGAAGGGGAGCGGTCTTTCTTCTCTTCTCAGAGCCACACGAATAGACGAAAATCAAGGAAAAGCTCGACATCTTTGGCAGCTTTTAGACTGCGAGCAGTCTCGGTCTCTTTTTTTTCTTTGCAAAGTTACTGAACGCGAAACCCAAGCACGCAAGCGGCTGGCTGAGATAAGAACAAGACAGATTTTAGTCGATCTTGGTTGACTACTTCAGCAGATATTATGAATTTACGATTATGTGAACCAGAACATCTGAGAAGATCACTGAGAGCCAGGAGATGATTCATGGTTTACCAGTGACATCTGATGGCTTGATGGCTGGATCTACTTCAATGTGATATCCTACTGGAAGGCAACCAAGTTCTGTGAACACATCTTCATATTACTTCAATATTTCATCTATAGTGAGCGGTTCATAATGCTTGCCATTAATAAGTGAACAGGCTCTCCTGCTCTTAAGGCTATGCAACATCGCACAATGCATGTTCTGCAATCTATGATGGGCAACGGTGCATTCTCCAGAATGTCAAATTTTATCTTGCACTTTGAGCTACTTTGTCGGTTAACTGTAAATGAGTAGGAGCCCAGTTGAGTGACCACAATGCCGTCATCAAGCCTTATCTTACCTCCATAGGGAGCCAAGTGAACTTTGCTGGAAAATATTCAAAAAATCTGCACAGGACATTGTACTGCATGTCGCTCTAGTATCATCCAGCTGAGTTGTAACTGTACGACTGTATTCAGTGAGAAAAGTTAAGGGTACCATAAAAGTGGATCTACCTACATTACCAGTGACAACTCCTACTCTCTCAATAATGAAGATAAGTCGTCCGATTATTCACTATCATCTGCATATCTCTGTTGATCTCCACTTATGTGATAAACTTTATTGGCTGGTTTACTTCATGGCTGCTTCTTTTCACGACACTTCACTGGTTTTCAGTGTCTCAATACTTGCACAGACCTGTTGGTTTTTCTACATTTGCTACGACCTCTTGGGTTTCCGCTGCTACCAATGAATATTATTTCGTTTACTTTTCTGTTTTGCTGGATGATTCTTTTCTGCATGCTGTATGAGCAGTGTTCGGAGAATCGGCAGTGTCCTCGAACTGACGTTTGTGAACCCACTGACTCCAAGAGAGACAGAGTGTTTTCTGAGTCTTTCTAGTCAGGTCCGATTGGTGTATTAAGGCTATTCATTACTTTGACTCAGTTTATTCCCATAACTCTGCATAAGGTTCCTGCCTGTCTTTCTTTACGTTTCTTGTTGAGTTCCGTAGCAGTTACAAAATAACACCAAGCTTCTTTGAACATTTTCAAGTTTGTTGTCATCTTTTACGTTCATAGGCGCTAGCGGCGGTATTTGATACAAAGGCAGGTCGAAAAAAACAAATACTCACAGTTCTGATGTGACGGCTTTCCACGTGCACGATTTACGATTGACAAAATGTCACAATAGCGACGGTAGCTTCTCTGAAATGCCCTCCTTGAAGACTTCTGCTACCTAGAGATTCTTTTAGCAACAATTAAATTTTGGCACCATGATATCCGGCTTGTAATGGAAAAATTAACTGAGAAAAAAGCAGTAACTTAAATGAAACGAAGCCCTTCTTATCTATGTTTAATTCACCAAACCAGCCTTATAGGAAGACCCCATAACTACTTCATGTGTCATTTTCGAACAGCGGTGTGTTCTTTCATGTTTGCTTCGATTTGACTAATGAACGAAGGATGGAGACAAGACGGACGACGCGATCATCTGAGACAAGGTCTGAAATCATAGACAATATGACTTTACCAGACCCTGATTGTTAGTCCGGCTCTGGTATAAGCCACCATCCTGCCCAGGACAAAAAAACCGGACGGAAATTCAGAACAAGTCCTATCCAAACAATGCGATTTGCGCAAGCTGAAGGCTAACAGTGAGAGAAAGAAGTTCATTAATAATTGATAGAATACAGATGGACTCTTCACAGTACCACCAGAGTGGGTGCAGCTGAACTTCTAGAGGAAAATCCGGATTAACCTATTTGCAGACAAGAGAAGCCATACCGAATATTCAGATCTGGTTACAGGTGAAAGAGTCCTTTAAAACGAGGGAAACAAGAAAAAAAAGTTGTCAGCAACATTTGCACTGGGACCGTATGACATTGTCACTAGACAGTAATGGCAACAGCATTAATGTGAGGTCTTCTCAGAATGTTCAGTTATAGAGGAATACTGCCATCATCCGAAGATATCTAAAGAGGAAAGGAACCGTCACACATGCCGAGTACAGTTTCTACCTCAGTTGAAGTAAATGGCCAGGCAAAGAGTTCCACCTTATCTAGACCGTCTACCACAGATCCTGAAACGGATAGTGGAAAGAGAAGGAAAGCTGTCTCAACGTTCGAGACTAATTTGGCAGACCTTGAAACAGATTATGGCTACTTGACTCCTTCAAACTGTTAATAGGGAACTTTAGCACAGGCGTTTTGGGGCGTTGCACGTCTACAGAGAGTGAGGCCTTCTCTCCTTGAGTATGCCTTGACGCTACCAAATTTTTATTGGTAAGTCTCTTTATTCTTGTAGAGACAATTTGGCCGAAAGTTTGGGCAAAATCACTGCCCAAAAATGTAAGAGGTCCACTTCCGGTTGACATGCGTCGTTCGAAAACGTCTTTGCTTGAGCTCCCTAATGTTTTGCTAAAACAGTTTTACGTTACTTCGCTAGCATGATTATAGAACTGTTCATCTATACTAAATTTGTTCCGATTTTCATCGCAGTTGCCAAGTTCGTTTCGTGTCTCCCTTGTATTGTCCCGAGAAGGGTGAGATAAGGTGTACCTTCATCAATTATAGCTTACATGATATATCTATGCGTAACAAGGTTGATATCTATAATATCAATAATCGACTAATTCGAATCGGTTTCAAAACACTATTAAGACACGGAAATTAGATGAACATGTGGCACATTAACAGCAAGCTAAAGAAAACTAAATACTTACAAGTAAGAAAACAACCTGGATCTACTAAAACTCTGAAAGGCTCCTGGTTCCACACTGGAAATGTTGTTGTTCTCCAGAAATCTGATAAAAAAAATCAAATATATGAGCACCTACAATAGATGTGATGGTGAGAAAAAGAATGATAAAATAAACACGTGCTTCAAATCATAAAGTCATTGATATTATTACACACATTTTAACACATCTTACTCTAACAGTTCAGTAGTAGCAGAAATTCACACGATTTTTTTTATAAAATCAAGAACCCTCAAGACACGATCAAAACCTAAAAAAATCAGGGAAAATGTGTTTAAATCAGAGTAGATGTAGGATATCCTTGTCGACTTACATTTCTTTAACATATCGCAATCCTTTGAACATATGGCTGCTTATTTCAGAAATGCTATTCTCACTTAACTTCCTGCGAGCGACAAAAAGACAGATATTAGACTCAGCAAAAAATTCAGTGGTAAAAAATATGAATAAAGATTGCAAATTTGAACCTCTTGAAGGGCTAACATAAGGAAAGGTTAAAAAATTATTCTAGGGCGAGAAAAAGGCGTGTGATATAGCAAACACGTACAGTGTATGTTTACATGGTGTTACATGGCTGTAGTGGAGTGTAGATTCCACCCAACCGCGTCAATACAACAAAGTTTGGACGCTAGGAGTATAAGAAAAAGGTGTTGACTGCTTGAATTTTGGTCTGCTGAAATCATATCAATAAGTAATAGTTCGTAGGAAGTTACGTTTGACTTGAAAAAAAAGGTAATTATTGAGACATTACTAACCCGTCCACAAGAAGCCTCCATCAACCAAAATCAAAGGACGGATCTTTAACATACTTATGGAAGATGTATTTGTCTGCCTAAATCATTTACCTCTTTCAATTAACTAATGGATGGCACCAGAGTACTAAAAAAGTCTAATTTCATCTAATTTAACCACCAGGTAACTGTATATACCTGATTCAGGGCGAGTTACGTTACTTAGTGCTTGAAATTTGCTATGTTAACCATGAAAATTGTAATAATTGGTAATTTGGGAAGCGTTTGAAGCGAGATTTTGCAAGCTGAATCAGCCTAGTAAGCCTTGCCTTTTAGGTTTAATCAGTTTATTACCAATAACACAGACTATTCGTGGCAATAGTTGGTCATTGTTATGTTGCACTTACAGAGATCCAAGAACCCCCAAATCTTCAAGTGCTCCAGGTTCAATACATTGAATTCTGTTGTTATTCAAAGACCTAAGGTGTAGAGTTTCAAAGTAAATTTTATGTACAAGACAAATAAGGATGGATACTGTCTAACACTGATTATACTTATTTACTTCATCGTCTATTTTTCGACTTTTTATTAATATTCATTCTATTGATTGATCTCATGTATAGAGTATATGAAATAAATCAAATATCCAAACTACCGATGAAATAGATAAAACTGGATGTAATCATCGTACTGATTAAATTAACAACCTAACCGTTTGGAACAGAGCCCGCAAAAAACAGCCGTTTCTCCTCACTCCTCGCCGCTTGGGACCTTTCGCCAGGAGAAACGTCTGCGTCTCAACGACAGACATTTTTGGTAGTCTAATAGTCTGATTAATGGAACTGTAGCTAATTGATACATTACCCAGATTTGAACATTTTAGTACCTGTATTCCAAGGGACCAACAGAAAGAATTCCGAAAATATCACTGAATATCCCTAAAAACTGCATAGAGTAAGTAAAACAAGTGTTTTGCGCTCTCACATCAAGTCCATACTTACAGTTTATTCAAATGATCCAAACCGCGAAAGGTTCCGTTCAAGAGCCCTGAAATCTTGTTGTTGTCAAGTATTCTACGAATTAACACAAAACGCGATAAAACTATCATGCAGTAAAGATAAAAAAGTTTGAAATAATGAGCTCCACTAGGAAAGTGTTTGCATTTTGTTGTCTATTATCAGATACAGAAGCTCCTTTCAGATTAGAAATTCGGGGCATATATGCTAATATAGAACAGTTCCAGAAGAAAGTCGAAAGGCCAGTAAAAGAATAAATTCAGTATTTATCGCTTCTATGCATTAATAGGGGAAGGTTTACATGTTTCCCTCATGTTCATACTGAAGGTGAACTATTTCTCAGACGTGCTGTTCTACCGGATATTCGTGAACCTTTCCTCCAGGCTAAGAGACAATCTAACTGCATTTATGTAATTTCCCTTTACCAACAGCACCACCACCACCACTACACCTCCCTCGTGTTTTTCATATATTGTTTGCCTTCCTGATCCTCCTCCTTCTCCTTCTCCTCTTTTTTTTACTGTTTCCCTCCTTTTCCTCTTCCTTTTCCCTTCTCCTTCTTCTCCACTTTTGTACAGTGTTCCCTCCTCCTCAGCATCGTTTTTATTGTTCGCTCCCGTTTCCTTTTCTTCCGGTTACTTATGAGGTTGTCTTTAATAGTGTAACTTGCAGTTTTCTGTGTCTAATGCAATACAAGTGGAGGAAGAAAGAGAGGAGGAAAATGGCCCTGAATTTATAAGCCTAAAATGCACAGAAAAAGAAGCAAGAAATCATAATTCAGGAAACTAAAAAAAATTATACACTCATATCTTTTTTGTTTAAGTTTTGATACATATTTTGAATTTGCCTACAAATTCTATAAATCTTTCGTAATATGCAAAGGAACTATCAAAACAGGCGGTAACTTAGTACCGGACTTAGCCGAAGTTTATTATAATAATTTGGACTTAATCTGTTATGACGATTTCAAAATGAAGAGAAAAGTGTGATCAGCGAAAATTTCAATGACTGGATATTTGGAAATGCGCTGATTTCAGGTTAACCGAAATAAGCGGAAAGCTGAAAGTTCTGTTAGATGTGCCAGGGCTTCAAACCCACCAGGTGTAATAATTTGGATGTTGTTTTTATGAAAATCCCTTCAGAAAAAAAGGAATAAAAATTACAGTTATGATTGATTGGATGTTTTACAATATGCTGGATGCCACACCAATCTAAAAACGACTAACTAATAAACAGTTACTCCTCGAGCCCGAATGGGCTATTGACTCACAGGCCATGTGGGCGAGAGGAATAATTGTTTTAGTAAAATCCAACTAGTTGGTCAAAAATATCGAGACAAAACAACTTAAGCCTAGCAAAACGCGATTTAGCCGCCATTGTTTTGGTTTTCAAAGCCGGCGCTTTTCTCTACTAGTGGGCTATAACATATAGCCTAGTAGTAGCTCAACCATTCAGAACGCAGCATTGATAATAGACCACTAGTTGGATTTTACTAAAAGGCGATAGTCATGAGAGAAGTTCACTGTTGCAAATCAATTGCTAAAAATGGTTGAATTTAAGATAATTGGAGGTTAAACGAAAAGCTTACAGATCTGTTAGATGTCCCAAGCCTTCAAATCCACCAAGTGCAATACTCTGGATTTTGTTGTTGTGAAGATCCCTAACGAAAGAACAAATAATAATATTTATAAACGTAAATTATAATTATCATAAAGAATCTCCCAGAATCCTTTGAGGCTGCAAGCTAAAGAAAACTAAATACTTACAAGTAAGAAAACAACCTGGATCTACTAAAACTCTGAAAGGCTCCTGGTTCCACACTGGAAATGTTGTTGTTCTCCAGAAATCTGATAAAAAAAATCAAATATATGAGCACCTACAATAGATGTGATGGTGAGAAAAAGAATGATAAAATAAACACGTGCTTCAAATCATAAAGTCATTGATATTATTACACACATTTTAACACATCTTACTCTAACAGTTCAGTAGTAGCAGAAATTCACACGATTTTTTTTATAAAATCAAGAACCCTCAAGACACGATCAAAACCTAAAAAAATCAGGGAAAATGTGTTTAAATCAGAGTAGATGTAGGATATCCTTGTCGACTTACATTTCTTTAACATATCGCAATCCTTTGAACATATGGCTGCTTATTTCAGAAATGCTATTCTCACTTAACTTCCTGCGAGCGACAAAAAGACAGATATTAGACTCAGCAAAAAATTCAGTGGTAAAAAATATGAATAAAGATTGCAAATTTGAACCTCTTGAAGGGCTAACATAAGGAAAGGTTAAAAAATTATTCTAGGGCGACAAAAAGGCGTGTGATATAGCAAACACGTACAGTGTATGTTTACATGGTGTTACATGGCTGTAGTGGAGTGTAGATTCCACCCAACCGCGTCAATACAACAAAGTTTGGACGCTAGGAGTATAAGAAAAAGGTGTTGACTGCTTGAATTTTGGTCTGCTGAAATCATATCATTAAGTAATAGTTCGTAGGAAGTTACGTTTGACTTGAAAAAAAAGGTAATTATTGAGACATTACTAACCCGTCCACAAGAAGCCTCCATCAACCAAAATCAAAGGACGGATCTTTAACATACTTATGGAAGATGTATTTGTCTGCCTAAATCATTTACCTCTTTCAATTAACTAATGGATGGCACCAGAGTACTAAAAAAGTCTAATTTCATCTAATTTAACCACCAGGTAACTGTATATACCTGATTCAGGGCGAGTTACGTTACTTAGTGCTTGAAATTTGCTATGTTAACCATGAAAATTGTAATAATTGGTAATTTGGGAAGCGTTTGAAGCGAGATTTTGCAAGCTGAATCAGCCTAGTAAGCCTTGCCTTTTAGGTTTAATCAGTTTATTACCAATAACACAGACTATTCGTGGCAATAGTTGGTCATTGTTATGTTGCACTTACAGAGATCCAAGAACCCCCAAATCTTCAAGTGCTCCAGGTTCAATACATTGAATTCTGTTGTTATTCAAAGACCTAAGGTGTAGAGTTTCAAAGTAAATTTTATGTACAAGACAAATAAGGATGGATACTGTCTAACACTGATTATACTTATTTACTTCATCGTCTATTTTTCGACTTTTTATTAATATTCATTCTATTGATTGATCTCATGTATAGAGTATATGAAATAAATCAAATATCCAAACTACCGATGAAATAGATAAAACTGGATGTAATCATCGTACTGATTAAATTAACAACCTAACCGTTTGGAACAGAGCCCGCAAAAAACAGCCGTTTCTCCTCACTCCTCGCCGCTTG